AACAGTACCACAAAGGAGAAACTGGACGGGTTTCCAAAAGTATGGTGACTTAGAAGGAAATGGTAAAAACAGCATATAAATGATATAAAACTTATTTTGTTGTATGTAGGAGATATTTAAGCAAAAGCTTATTTTCCTGCATGTTTAAAAATCAAATTGATGAGAACTTGTTGTAAATTTATTCCTTAACCTCACCAAAGTTAGGGAAAATTTCAACAGTTTCATTATTTTTATAAGTACAAATGCATCTTCAGGGAAAAAAAGGGCAATAAGATCTATTTGAGAGAAAATTTTGTGCATAGTCTGTGAGGAAATAGTATAGAGTTAAAATTCCTGAATGCCATGCATATTAAACATATTATATAAATCTTTATGTCCTAATTAGTTTTGTGTATTTGCTTATAAATTTCTGTGTATATTCTTATTTGTTTTCTGTGCGTATTTGCCCTTCGTTTCCACAGATGATTTATTTCTCTGGGGAAAGAGTATGTTTACCACTTTCCAGTAGCACCTAGAGCACTGAACTGAGGAAAGCAGGTTTTCTTAGTGTTGAGTAATTGCCTTTATTAGCCTTACATTTTGAAAAATATGTCAACCTACAATCTCAGTAAAAATGCAAAATTAAAAATGAATATAGAAAATAACATACGTTTTCCTCTGACATTAAATCAGCCGTTGTGCCAAATGTAGCACAAATGGCCCTTTAACGGGGGTCCTGTACAAACAATGGGTGATCAAAGAACACATCGGCAGCAACACCAAGGCACACCGGTGTCAAGGACAATGTATTCTGAATTCTATTTTGTATTTCTTCTGTGATATGGTGCCAGAACACAAATATATAGACACAGATCTATACATATACATGTGCATATATATATATTTTACAGAATTTAAATAATTCATTTAAATAAATTATTTAAATGATTTAAAAATTCCTATGTCAAACAGATTAATGGAACCTTGTTATTCAAAAGATAAATCATTTTATATGAAGTGGCAAAGACTTCAAGGGCTAATAAAGGTTTTATGAGAGATAAACTTTTAATGAATTAATACTTTTGCATGTACTTATTTCTATAAACATAAGTATACACACAAATGCTTACAATGGTATTTATATCAACATTTCTGACTGATTTTTTTAAGGAAACAGTATTCACAGTGTTTCCAATTAAATATTTTTATAGATTTGATTTTTAGGAGCTGATAGATTATAATTCACCAAGCAAAGTAGAAGGTTTAGATAATAGTGTTCTTAATGTTATTATCTGTGTAACAAGACAAACTTTTTTCTGTTTGTAATTTATATGAATCCAGTAATCATTAGTTTTGAACAATTTTATACATGCCATTTTCTCGGGCTTGAAGTGTATTTAGCACTCAAGTCTTTTTGCTGTGGAGGTCTTAATCAGAAAGAGATTTTGCTCTAGAAAATTATGGTGAACTAGTATTTGTATAACAAGACCTTAAGACCCTGGGAAAAAATTTAAGGATTTCTATGAAGCTCAGCACACATTCCTCAGCTAAATTTTGGCATCGTTTCAATTTGAGACTCCAGTGAAATTCAATTGGTTTATTTTATAATTAAAAACAAGGAAATCATAGTAACAAAAATATATAATGTATAGCACTCGTGTTTATAATAGAAACATCCATAAAGAAAGAAACATGCTCTAACTTTTCTCATTACTCCAAAGGGAATTGCATCTTTAATCACACAAAGCACAACTGCTTTCTAATTTTGCTCAAAGTGTTTCAATACTTACAAAAACCAGATCAGGTTATTGTAAATCTAGAGCAAATTAGAATCACTGGCCTCTGCTCAGCAATATGTAAGGGTTCTATGTAAATCATAAATTTAATGGCATAGTAAGACACACATCTGTTTCAGCTTTGTAGAAGTTAATAATCTAACTACAGAGTATTTAAACACTTCTTTCATTAACTGGAAAATTGAGACAAAGATAGACTTCCCTCAGTGATAAGGTGTAATCTTTTACCTCCAAATTTTGATAAGCTATAATTTACCTAAGTAGTTAGTTTTCTAAAGATTCCATTTAGTATCTATTTTTCACATTACACGATTTCTTCTTGTATAGAAATAATCAATATAAACAAACAGGCCAGCATTATCATCTTCAGTTTACACCTGAATATTTTTTATTTACATATATATCATATTTAAAGTCATTTTGCAATAGGCCACTGGAGAGAAAGTAAAATACTGAATAATTATATGAAATGTCAAAATTCATTTAAAAAATATTTTTCAGATTCCTTATTTGATTACCCATAAGCTTATTTTTAAATGATAAATGATAGTCTTCTGGGGATTCATATTATTTTAAAATAGTTTACATTCTTGAATTTTTCCAACATTTACATTTTATAGCTAGCATTCTTTTCTGATTTTATCTCAGCAAACTGTAAATATTTTTCATGTTATTTCCATAACCTCTTTCCTTGAAACATGCCACTTTACATATCACAGTAAGAATAAATTATAATGAATTATTGTGTTTCAATTATCATTAGATAATAAACAGGAAATTAGTTCTTCTTGCAGTGTATTCTACATTGTCTGAACAATGAAATATATGTAGTTTGAATTTGGGTGATTAAATTCAGGTAGTAAGGACATAGTACTAATTAAATTGGTGTCATAAATTACATTCCCATAATGAAGAGAAACACTCTTTTAATGCACTAATAATCTTCTTTACTTATAATGTAGATATGTGATTTTGGTAACCAGGGCAGTGGATAAGAGTGTGGATGGCTCAGTGCAACACATCTCCATCATTGAATCAAAACCATTCAAAGAATATATTATCCAGGTGATGGTTTGGCAACTTCTTTTTAATGCAGAATAGCTGGAGAGATCATTTATATGTTTTTATTGTTTAACCTCAACCAAAATTTTGTCATTGAATAACGCTCACCAAAATCTTATCATTACCAAATCATTTCAGTACTCCTTTGAGATATAAATGATATTTTAATATGATTCTAAATTTGGATGCTAATTGTAAAAAAACGGATTCTTTTCTAATGCACTTTTACTTATCACAAAAACATATGCCTATTACATCATTGTTTGGTCTAGGACCTAAGTGATTGATTTCATAGTGACTTTAAGAATGCATTGTAAAGAGTTGCAATAAGTTGAGAACGTAATTATAAAGATTTAAATTATTCTTGAAAATAGAGATGGCAACATTCTATTATCTTATCAAGGAAACTATGATGAGAATAGGTTTAGAAGAAAAATCTTTGCAAATTGTTGTTCTAGTTTCCACACGCTCAAATTTATTTTTTATTAAAATATATACAACAAATAAAGACCTTTTTAAAATAAAAAAGATAAGTGGAGTTAAAAAATAACCATCATAATAATTAGAGAAAAAATAATGAAGTTTGTAACAGCTAATATGTATGATCAGAAGGATCAAAAAGACAAGGTCAAACATCTCATGTTACACAATTTTAGATTATGAAATATTTTCAAAACTGAAACAAGTTTGTCTTTAAATAATACTAAAATCATATATATTATAATTACTGTTTTATGCTATATCATTAGGACAACTTCAGTGTACTCTAATATGAAATCTTATGTGTCGAGTAACTGTATCTTTGACTCACTTTCTTAAATGCAAAGAGGGTATTTGTGAGTTTGTTTTCTGACTCTTAAAAGCCTTTTGCAAGTTCTGCCATACTACAGTGAACTATGACATGAATAATCAAAGTCATGTTCTCAGAGGCACTAAAAATTCAATTTAGACTTCTGTGAAATTGCTATTTGGTTATCTTGGAGGGTTCAGATTCAAGCGAAGTGGAGTTGCCTTTACTATTAACCACTGCCTTGCTTTTGTTCTCACCCATGCCACGCATGTTGCTTTACCAAGAACTGCCCATTTAAACGTTTTATATTTAAAACAAAGAGTTGTAATTTTAGGTTACTCTTAGTTTAACTCCAACAATTTTTTTTAAATGCAAAGGAATTTCACCTGTATTATGGAGAGAGGTTTTCATCTATTAAAAAGGGATGAGGAGGCCCATTTTTAAACTACATACTTTAATAAGAAAATATTTGGTTATAAGTACTTATGGTAAAAAAAATTATTATAAGAAGTCATAGACAATTTTGTATAAAATGAGTGTTGTTATAGTTACACTTTCTGGTTTGACAAAAACACTGATAGATCTATAAGACACGATTATAGAAAATCCTCAAGGTGCAGAGATTACCAACCGCTATGGGAACAATCTATGGGAAAGAAAGACTACCTCTGAGTTGTGTCAGACTCAGTGGGCAATGATTATGAAGGACACCTTTTTAAACTTGCTTACTGTTGAGCATCATAATGGTGTAAAAATAGTATCATCCTTTATACACAGTTATACGTACATAAACTCTGCACAGAAAATCATGCTACCAGTTGTTTCAGTGGATTTTTAAAGAAGTATTAATTACAAAATGCCAGGTATTTAATAATATATATGATTATAGACTTCTAGATAATATCATTAAGCCCACTATACCATAATCGTACCTGTAATATAGTTAAAACTATCATCACTTTTGGAGACTGCATCTCTACCTTTCAGATAGGGTTTGGCTTTCTTAGACCAGGATTTCCTCAGCCTGGAGAGAACCGGGCAATAGTTAAAAACTTACTGGCTTTGCCAAATGCTTTCATATGTTTCTGCTCTCACGGAAAATGAGTTTTGATTTCTTCTCAGCCTACACGCATGGCAAAGCGAAAATGAAAAACAAAGCTAGGAACGTTCAACCAGTTCTGGTTGTTTGGTATTCGCATACTGCTTTGATCTGCTCTAGAGCTTTAAAATATTTATTTTCTAGAGTAGGGAAAACTAGTTTCAGCACTAAGCGTCATTGAACAGTAACGATGAAGAAAAGGGAACACACAATTTAGGATGAACTCCAGCTATTTTATTTCTATTTCTGTATTAGAAACCAGACCAGTTATATATTTTTTTTATTTGTTTATTTTAGAACTCTCACAGAGCTCTCATCACAGGCAAAAATAATAAATACAATTTACCCCCATTGGTAGTTCTCTACAGCGTGTAGGTCGAACTTCACACAATTTTTGGCCTTCTGTCAAGACCTGGATCTCCTCCCTGCCCCACCCAGGCCCACCCCTATGCAGCCCCTTTTAGAACTGGCTTATCTATATCCAAGTTTGCCAGAGTAGGGCACTGAAGAAGTTACTCACTGTGATCTGTTGGCTTATACTAATCACAATATTTTGCAACCATGCCCATTTTCATCCTTCTTCAGATTTTTTAAATTGGTACCAATTCTTTTGTTATTCATAATTGTATTTTGACAGTAACCTCATCACTTTCAACAAAGATGCCTAGATGTAAATAGCTTTAAAATTAGCATAATTTCTGTATGAGAAATATGTGAACCCATTGAATAAAATAATCTTTGGTTTCTTAAAGTAGCTTAAATTAAAAACATGAGTTTCTACAGTTGGAAAAAAAAACATGTATGGTTAAAATGTTTGAAGCCCATCAATCTCTCAAATCACATAAGCTAATGAGTTCCTTCTGTTTTCTTTGAATGAAATCACCATGAGTGGTTAGATGTTGATTTAACATAAAACAAATGGAAATGGATGTTTCCTTTGTCCTTTGTAGAATTTATTTTTTAAAACAATTAGCAAGTATTATGAATAAGTCAATGATTTTGCCATTACTTAAATAATAGTACAGATTGAGCAGTTACATTGATTGGATTGTAGGGAACGCATAATAGACTATAACTCCCCTTGGCTTGCTAACATCTGCAGACATTATTACGCTTCTCATTTCTTTTTTTTCTACCATAACACCTGTACTGTTATAAATTATGTTTTGAATTGTCATGAAGTGTCAGGCAAATTATGTTTTCTGGATGTGTGTGTGTGTGTGTGTGTCATTTAAATGTTCCGTTGTAATGGCAGGTTTGTGGCTAACAACTTAATCTTGAATGTATCAGTGCAGTTAAGTGCTCTGTTCCAATCCTGTGTGGATACAAATAAGGCTGTATTACTCTGTGTAAAGTGCAAGGAAAAATTAAAAACTCTTTAATATTTAAAACATTATCCTAGAGAAGGAATACATCTAGATGTAATTTTAAAAACAGCAAGCTTATTATATTCTTAGGAAAAAAACTGTTGAACCCTTTGAACTCTATAAAACACACATCCTATTGAATTAAAATTAAAAACTTGTTTGAGGCATTTTCCACTCCCTATAGTTTTAACCCACTTCTGACAACCTCCCCCTCTCAGGCATTCTCCTTTTTTTGTAGTCTCTTTAGGAACATAGTGGAGAGTGACTCACTTATGTCCCAAGCATTTAAGAATGTTAAACCTAAGAAGTGTAGACAGTGGTTCTTCCTGAGATTCTTTCTGAAAGAGTTAAATAAATAACTAAATGAGCCAACATATGGGCAGCTTAATTCAGGCAAAATTTTCTATTGATTACTTACTAAGCTTACTAAATAAAAAAACTTCAGCCCAAGTTTTGCCTCCCCAAAGGAAACAGGATTAGTCTAATCTATGCACTCATTGGGGCTTCTTGTGAATCTTGCTCAGATGAATGAAAAACCTTCAAATATGAACAAAAGAAAGGGCTAAAATTTTTTGGTAAATGCAAGTTATTATTGGTTTGACACATTTTGGTTTACGATCTTGAATAAAATAACTTCCTTTGGAATAAAGTTCCAGAGGAGACTATAATATAAATGACCTCTAAAGGTATGGGAATTCTATAATTCTGCCTTCTTCTCAACGTGTTTAAAGTAGCCTGATTTAATTTTTCTAGGTAGATTTGTTGTGTGTATAAATTTTGACAGATGTAAAAATGGAATAAGGTTTCACACCAGCTCTGTATAAGTGTGTTTTTTTCCAGACTACTTGATATCTTGCATTGATAATATTTGAGTTATGTTATCTAAGAAATTTCAAATGGAAGTGTTTATGTAGTTTAAAGCACCAGTGCTCTAAATGGCTCCTCTTATCTTTTGGATTGGTGAGAATATTAAAACACCAATACAGTATGTAGAAAAAAATTTTGATCATCAAGGATTCTTGTTTTAATTTGAGAATTATAATGAATCAACCAAAGAGCATGTTTACTATCTGTACATATGTACTTTTAACATCATTTTTTGCAAATTGAGAACAAACTTGACCAATAGCTGGATTTAGTTTAGTACTACAAATATCTGGCTTTGTGACAAAATACAGGTATTAGGGTCTTCATGTCTTTTGAATAGTCTGCTGTTGACATTTTAATAACACTGTTGTTTGAAATGATTTCTGAAGTATGATGACTGCAGCATACCCACAGCAACAAAAAGTACATATTGTTTCTGAAAGCAGAGAAGCTCAAGTTTCATCCTATTTTCTAGAGGTTTTAAATCTTGGGAGGATCAGTTTTTCTTGAAAACCAATGCAAACATGCTTCTTTAATTGATGTCTGCATTCATTAGTATAAACAGTGATTTAGAAATACATCTGAAAACGTAGTCACTTTCAGCTCAGAAATTTTGTAATTATAAAAAAATTACGGTTTGATTTTATTCGTATGCAAAGGACACTTAACTGGCTTTTAAACATTTTTCTAGCGTGATTTGCTCCGTCCTGGTCAGCTCTCTTCAGTTTGGGTCCAACGCTGGCGCTGCCAGGCTGTTTGCTGACACTACCAACAGAGAGGTGCAAGGAAGTGTGGTCTGAGGACAAGAGCAAAAGCAGTTTCAATGTAAGGAAATGAGGGAAACAGACCTAACAGCACGATGAATGCACTTGCGAGTAAAAAGCCTTGTAGTCTCCTTTCCTTCCTTTGCTTATCCTGGTGGGTTTAATCAAAAACAAACAAAACGCTCTTGTGAAATAGTCAATAAAGTCAAAGTTTGGCTAGCTCTCTGTAACTACAAAGAAAAAGTCATCGCAATTTTAAAAAATGTAACTTTCATTAGCGAGCCCGCCGGAAATCTCAGGTATCAAAGACGCATTAACCCTGGAGCGTCCCCCGCGCGCCGCAGCCGGACGGAGGCAGCCGAGGCGAACAGACGTTCTTTCTCCTCGGAGCAGTCACACAAAAGGAGGGCCGCGGAAACTAAAACTTTCGGGGCCTCCGGCTCGCTGCGCTAAGAAAAGAGAAAACCTGGAGACGGGTGGGTAAAAGACGCATCCCGGGCGCCTCTCCGAAGTGCACGAGAGAACAGAGCTCCCGGGCCTGGAGGGAAAAGGGGAGGGGGCCCCGAGCCGCCGGCCAGCCCCCTGCGCCCGCCTCCGAGGCCCGAGCCCCG